CAGATGTGTTTTTATGGCTTCATAGTTTGTTGAAATGTACTTTATAGACTGAGACACTGATAGAGATAGAAATCCACAAAGACAGGAAGACAAAGAGTAGAGAGAGTGTGTGTGTGTGTGTGGGGGGGGGGGGGGGGGGGGGGTCTAGAGAGAGAAAAAAGGAGAAAATAGGAAAGATATGAAAAGAGCAACATGTAGTGGGCAGGACTTGAGTGATGAAAAGGTTTGTGGGCAAGATTTTTCTCAGTGACGTCACTTTTACACAGTTTCCTTGAATAGCACCTGTGTGCATGGGGGCTGTCTGTCTGTCTTCTGAGTAAAAACATAACCCATGCCAGCAAAAACATATCTATCAGTGTTCTCCACTGGCCAGTGGAGACAGACTGTGTCCCTTCTTTCCTCAGAGGCCAACATTGACTCTTGTTGTCTTTAACGCTAGCTGTTAGAGATTGGCTCCCTAAGCATTTTAGCATCTTTTCTGTGAGCGTACGTAGATTTTTTTTTTTAAACATCCTTTTTGTGAGTTAAAATGTTTTTGACAAAGACTCAGCTTTCTCTTTGTGCAGTGAAAATTGCTCTATTTTGTGCGGCTGCAATCAACGCCCTTGTGGATGACCCCAGGTGCCTAATTCAAAAATGGTAAGTGCCAACAATTTTATCATCAGATAAATCAGTGTTTCTCTCATTATATTGTGTATCTTTGTACTGTTTTGACAGATACATGGCGAGAATCTCTGTGTCGCCTTTGGGGCAATTACTTTTTGTCCTGTTTATTGCAACAATTTTGCTCTGCTAATCCAAAGAAACATTTTTTTGTTATATTTCGTGACTGTCTTGTCATTGTCTGTCAGTGTCACCTGTTTTCACTTATTGATTTTCAGTTGTGCAACTGTTCAATTCTGTCTCCGCGTTTAACTGGATCTCACATAGATGTGACGTCCTGAAAAATATGGTTGTGCTTAATCATTCTCATGAAAAGCATTTAAAATACATACATTTCATTTAAAAACACACACACATATACACAAATAGCCGGTTATCTACCAACATGTTACTGTGGCATCCACACCACACTGACATACTGTAGATGTATGCACACACACACACACACACACACACACACACACAGAGAGGGTTGTCTGTGTAGAGGGTGAGATGGCAGCACTGTTGACCAACATGCTCTAAAGTTTCAGTGAACTGAATACTCACATCATCCTCTGCATTTATGTCCATGATTTACATTCAGCAGCAGTCAGTTTTACACAAATTGTGTGTGCAGCTCTGTGAATGCAGCAATAATTAGTCACGTTATCTTTAGGCAGAGGCAGAATAGATGGAAGAGTAGATTTATTTATTTTATAATTCTGTTACAAGAAAGAAAGCATGTTTTTATCTGATAAAACTGAAAAGCAAGCCGATCATATGCAAGTAACATTGATGAATAAAGACAAGGACACAATCCCAACTGCCATCAGCTATTTCCTACTCTTAAAATGTTGTGTATGATTTTATGACAAAAGTGACAAAATGTGATATTTCAAGTATATAGGTTGATGTGTTGGTATGCTTTTTTCTGATATAAATCAAGCATCTAATGTGTCAGTACAATTTGTTCACTGCGTTATGTGTCCATCACTGTAATATGTGTCCAGCCTAAGGCATTAACAAAATGGCAAAGTGCCAGTGAGAAAGAACTTACGTTTCCTTTAGATGTCCAAAACGCCATTATTGATGTTTAATTATTGATCATCATTGACAAAGTAGATTACTTACCTGGAACCTGTGGACAATGTGGAGCTGAGTACAGTACATGCATATTGAGAGAAATTGAGTAAAATGAATGCAGTAGTTTTCAGCTGGGGGTTTGGGAGAGCTCAGGGGGAGCTGATTTATGGCATTCATGGGAAAAAATGCAAAAATTTTTACTTTGGCATGTCAAAAAAAAAACAGTTTATGAAACCTACACTGGCTTCTTCCAATAGATAATCAATTGAATCTGGTAGGGGAATGACCAGAAACATCCATCAGTTCACAGCCTCCTGTGTGTTTGTATTGTTTAATTATTATACAGAATGTTCCTTGCTATTTCTTTTACCTAAGGCAGCAACAGATGATTATTTCCATTATTGATTTGATCTGCTTATTATATTATTTTCTCGATAAATTGATCAGTCATTTGGTCTACAAAAAAACAAAAACTAAAAATAGTGAGACATGCCTATCAGAATATCTTAGAGCACAAAAAGCAGCATGCTCACAGATTTGCGAAGCATCATATTTTTGTCATTTTTGCTTGAAAATTGACTTAAACAAATACTCGATAATCAGAATTGTTTAATTAGATGCATTTTCTATCAATCAGCTAATCAATGCAGCTATAGTTTTAACTGCAATGTTTCACATTCATTTGTTGTGAAACATAATCAAATGCCTCGTAAGACTCGGTATAAACTTACATGATAGAGACAAACAATTGGTTATTCAAAACTGAATTAATATAATGTAATAATATATAGCTTTAATTCTCTTAAGTGAAATAGATATCAATGTGCTCACAGTATCCATTCTCTCTCAGCGTCGCTGAATGACTGAATCAAACTGACATTGAACTGATTAACACTTATGTCAGTACAGTGATTTAACGACAGCTTGTCAGCAGGTGTTTTCTTTCTGTTCCAGTATGCAGGGTTGTCACCGGCTGTACCGAGACTTGGATCACACAGTTTGTCCTGGCAGATAACCCTGACGCCAACCCCCAGCCCTGCTTTATCCATTCCTTTGCCTTGTCCTTCCCCCAGAACATCAGGAATCTCAAACACTGAACCCTTCACAGGTTCACACAAAACTGTTGGTTCCATGTGTCAAGGTAGTGTGGGCTTTCAGGATTTCTGATGGTACAGTACATAGATACTAATGTAAATATCTATTTTTGTCAATACCAAGTAGTGGCAAAGGGAACAAAATATTCAAAACCATCTTTCAGATATGAGAAATGGTAGGTGAAAGATAATGAAGAAGTAGCGCAGAGATAATTGCAGTGATTGAAATAATGTATGTGAGTGTGTTTCTTTCGAGTATGAGTTTAAAGCCATTTCACAGATGGTTTCTTGACAGGCTGCCAACTGATTCACTTAATCTCTACACACACAAGGAGAAGGCCACTCAGGACTGCCAGTTCTGCTGTGACAAACAGGCTCTGGCCTTCAAATAAGAGGTCTGAGGAGTGAAGAAAGTTTGGTTTGAAGGAGAGCCATGCAGGTTTTATCTTAGCTCCTTCAGCCCTCCATCTTTCCATGGGAGGATTTGGATCATATTAGCTCAAGGAGGCCACCTTGAGTATGCCTAGTAGCTTGGAAAGGGAAGTCGAAGGACTATGCAGTGTCAGGTTAACACTAGAGGGAATAATAATGTTGTTTAATTACTAAGCATTTCATTGAGAGAGCTAATGTAGTGTATATTCACTTCCTTCTAGTAAGCTTGATTTTAACTCTAAATAATGATTTAATTGGTTAAATGTTTGGTTTTGACAAAGAATGCTGCCGAGTTATTTGAAAAATATATACATCTCAAATGGTGTTCACTGCATGTAGGAGGGAGTCCATAGCGGCATGGAAGACTAGTGATTTTGTTGTTTTGTGGTTAAACTGACAACAAGTCATTGTCTCCCTCACTGCTTTGAGACACAAGCTTTAACTCAAGCCAAGTTCATTAAATGTCTCAGAAATTGACACTGAATTCTCATTTCCCTTTGGATATAGTGGCATGATTAAAAACATCAAGTGCCCCAGTTGTCTTCCAAGAAAGATGAGGAGAAATTACACTCTGATATTGTGCTATTGTACACTGGGTGAGATTTTACTCAGTGGAAAATTTGCACAATCTGGGTGAAAATCCTGCATCAAATGTTTATGCATAGTTTTTAAATAGTAATCTCTTTAAAAATTATTAAACCTTTCAGCTACTGCACAGTGAAAACACAGATCCAGATCAGACTGATAGAAATGCAATTTCTTAATAGCACGCAAATACTTGTACCAATCCATACTATTGCTAAATTTGGCGGAAGGATTTATCAATAGATAAGTAGATAGATCAAAATCAGTCATTTAGGAGTGATTTACTTACTTCACCTGTCAATTAATCATTTCAGTTTCAGTTAAATTGGCTCAGGTCGGCAGTGAAGTTACTTTGTTTTTGCCCCTTCTGTCTAGATGAATTGGCAGCACACAGAAAGAGGTGGAATCTGACTGGTAAGAAAAGTTGTTTTGAGGTCATTTGACAATTTGAAATAATAATGATAATTGTGCCTTGTGATGGACTGGCGACCTGTCCAGGGTCCTTTCGCCCAATGTCAGCTGGGATTGGCTCTAGCCCCCCGCGACCCTGTACAGGATAAGCGATTGACGATGTATGGATGGATGGATGAATGATAACTGTTTTCCTAATCCCAACAGTTTGAAGTAAATTCCTCATGCCGAGGTTTGTTAGGAAAGTTTTTGTTAAGAACTTTTGTTGGCTTATGCTGTTGAAATGGTAAATTAAACATACAAATAACTCTATCTATCTATTATAACTATTATAATAATAATAATAATAAGGAGGCTGCTGTGATAAAAATAGATAAAGCAAGACATGTTCAGTTTTTACATGGTCAGAATAGTTCTGGTTATTACTCTGATTGTGTTTTAGGGTAATTATTGACCTAAACTCATTAATCCATGAATTTGGGTTGATCTCATTAACCTGATGTTATTCTCTCTGTGAGCTGGACTCCAGCCTATTAAACAGCCTACTTCTGAATATTGAATAATGAATGATGGAAAACACAGATGACCTAAAGGTTAGAGGTAATGTTGATATCGACTTCCACTTCAATGATTAACTCTCATCAGATTCTGCTACAATTTATTTCATTTCAACTTTATTAACTACCCTTAGGCTTTTCATAAATTAATTTCTGTACTCATATAAGACAAAATAAATAATATGTCCGCTCAAAATGATGACTTCCATACCCCTTTATTGATGACATTCAAGCATCACGTCTCAGATGATTTAGAGAGAGAGGAGTATGCTGGACAAACACCAGTGAAGTATTCTGTGTGGCAACAAAAGTGACCTCTAGCCCAGCTTGGCCGTTAATGCAGCTGGAGTAAACCAACAGCCAGCTTTACTTGGAGGGGAGCAGGGACTTGGTCTTGTCCACCACCTGCTGGAAGATCTTCTCCATCATGTCGGTCAGAGGCTTGACCTGAGTGTTGAAGTTGTCAGTCAGGGGCTTGATCTGTTCCTCAATGTTGGCGATGAGGGGCTGGACCTGCTCCTGCAGCTTGGCAGCCTCAGCCTGGACCTTCTTAACCAGAGGCTGGATCTGGGCCTTGCTGTCCTCAATGTAAGTCCTGTGGAAGGTAGATGAAGCGACATACTGCTGTTAATCACTGCTGCTAACTCTGACTTGTATTTAATAAAGAAAAATTTACTAAAACTGCTTGACAATTGACTTTTAAGGAGAATTTTGACTAGTTGCTACTACACCAAGCCATTCAGGGTGTATACTGTATGCTGTGTGTATGTCTAGGTCACAATAATGTGAATTAAACCTAAAAGAAACCAAACTAACCATTTACTATCCCAAGAAGTGGTTAGCCTTTGGCCTTTTTAGCCGCTTTATGTATAATTTTGTCATCATAAATATGACTTTTTCATCTTGACAACTGACTGAAAAGTGACATATTTGTTGTTTCTTAAGTCAGTTTTTCTCATTTGTGAAATTTCTCAATTACACAAGATTGAAATAAACATGTACTGGTTTATAGCTAGTAAAATAAGTAAATTAATAAAATGAAATTTGCTCAGATAGACCTTCTGGAATTTCTATGTGCCATTTTGACAATATTGTTCTAACACTTAACACTGGCCATACGCTTCAAGCGTAAACTAGAGTTTACTAGAGTTTAGAGCATTTCCCTGAATGCCCTATTCAACCTGCCACATTCACTGAGTGGAACAGTGAGTTTAAATTCCTACAGCCCCACAACTACGAGCAAAACTAAATCAAAGTTACAGCATCCCAACAAAAGACAGAATATTATTTTGTCCATAAAACAATCATGAAAGGCTGAATGCAGTGCTGTTAGTGGAGGTAGGAGTTAAAGAAGTAGACAATGGAAAAAGAACAAGGAAATAAAGGTATATTTTTCTGTTGGTTGTTACTTACTGGCCAGTGTGGGTCACCTCAAGAGCCTTCACCTTCTCCACAATGTCCTGAGTTGTGGAGGTGATGCTGGCAGACATGTCATTGACAATCTTGGAGATTCTGTCCACCTCAGACTGGATGTCCCGCTTCACCAGTGACCCGGCCTCAGTGCCTGTGAGCACACATTTACTGTTCTTTATCTAAATCCACAAAATTTGATTAAAGCTTACACACTAAAAGACTTTAAGAAGAATATGAACAATAGTGCCTTCAGTTCATCAGAATGAAGGGTAGGTCTCCACATGAACACACAATATGACAAAAAAAAGATAAGCACTAGTTCTCAGCTGCTTATAAGACTTTAAACTACTTATGGCATGCAGTGTATTCTAAATTGCACAAGGCAAGTTTTTAGTTGAGGAAATGTCGAAAAAAGGTTCTGATGTGCAAAAAATGAAGCTGAATTTCACTCTATATATTTCATAGTCTATATGTGATCTTTAAAATACATTTCAAATATCAAATATGGTTTTTAATTTTTTTAAGTCTGTGAAAATATGTCTTACCATGGGCAACAGACAGCACAACGACAAGAGCGGCAACAAGGGAGAATTTCATGGCTGAAGATGAGCAAGACCAACCTAGAGAAAGTTGAAGGGTTAGTCAGATAAACTGAAAGTTGCAATTGCAATATAATGATGGAAACATGTCTGATAATGTAAGAAATTTAAGAAATAATCAATGTGTTTTCCACAAATATATGAAAAATACACTGCCGTACAAAGGATAAGAAACCAACATAAAGCAGACATACCTTAACTCCTGGGGTTCTTGGACCTAACGGTACCTTCTGTCAGGGAGCTAGAGGCTTTTATAGCTCCAGTGGATGAGTAAATCGTGGCTAATCAGAATTTAATCAATTCCCACGTAAAGAAGTGACCTGACAAGAGGAGTACAAACATTGTGTTGGCTGAACCTTGATGCTTGATAGCTGTCACAAGAAAGACACAAAGTCCACTGTGTGTGTGATTGTGAGTTGGAGAGAAAGATTCATACATTGTGAAATGTTGGCTGCTGTGACCTGATGAATCTTTATTTTTAAGAACATTTCCTCAAGAACTGTACTTACATAGTTTTTTGAGGCACTTGTCCTATACTTGAGTAAAGGCATTTAGTTGATGCTACTTATACTCATACTTACTAGAGTATAGTATATTTCTACTCCATAAGATTTCAGAGGGAAATATTATGCTTTTTTACTCCACTAGTGAACTGACTTTGAAGATCCAGGTTTTACACACAAAATAGATTATCATCTTTTAAAATGTGATGCACTGATGTAAATAACGCTACCTAACAGTATAGGCAGTAGTAAAATTTAGCTTTACTTCAACCAGCTACAACTAAAAAATGCTGTGGACAAATGAATGCATCAGCAATAGCTGCTTAATGAGAACTTTTCATACTTTACATATTGCTGCATATATATAAATATATAAATATATATATATAAAATGCAAGAAATAAAACATATATGTGTAGTGAAGTTTTTTTTTTTTTACCTTGAGACTGTTAAGTAAAAGATCTGACACTGGGTTTATTTATACATTGTCTGTCTTCTTAACAGCTGATGAGTGTCATTTGATAAGATAGAGTTACTGAGTTGTGCTGACCTTGGACACCAATCTACTTAGTCCTATCAGCAGTTGCCCCATAATGTATGAACAATCTACAGCAGGCTGAGATGAGCTCCTGATAAACTCATTATAGAAGATACAGTAGAGAGATGCTGCAGTTACCATGTCTGTCATCATACTGGGGCTTTCTTTGTCTGTTATGTCACATGTTTTAAAACCACCATACTTATTAATTAACTGAACAGATGTTCCTACAAAAGATCAAATGGTTAAAATTATCATATGATATTATATACACTGAACAAAATTATAAGCGCAACACTTTTGTTTTTGCCCCCATTCATCATGAGCTGCACTCAAAGATCTAAGACTTTCTCTACGTACACAAAAGGCCTATTTCTCTCAAAAACTGTCAACTACTCAAAATGTGTGTTAGTGAGCATTTCTCCTTTGCCAAGATAATCCATCCATCTCACAGTTGTTGCATATCAAGATGCTGATCAGACAGCATGGGTATTGCATGGGTGTTCCTTAGGCTGGCCACAATAAAAGGCCACTCGAAAATGTGCAGTTCCATCACACAGCAGAATGCCACAGATGTCGTAAGTTTTGAGGGAGCGTGCAATTGGCATGCTGACTGCAGGAATGTCCACCAGAGCTGTTGCCTGTGAATTGAATGCTCATTTCTCTACTATAAGCAGTTTCCAAAGGCATTTCAGAGAATTTGGCAGTACATCCAACTGGCCTCACAACCGCAGACCACGTTTAACCACACCAGCCGAGGACCTCCAGATCCAGCATCTTCACCTACAAGATGGTCTGAGACCAGCCACCTGGACAGCTGCTGCAACAATTTGTTTGCATAACCAAAGAATTTCTGCACAAACTGTCTGGAACCATCTCAGGGAAGCTCATCTGCATGTTCGTCGTCCTCATCGGGGTCTCGACCAGACTGCAGTTCGTCACAACCAACTTGAGTGGGCAAATGCTCACATTCAAAGGCGTCTGGCACTTTGGAGAGGTGTTCTATTCATGGATGAATCCCGGTTTTCACAGTACAAGGCAGATGGCAGACTGAATAGCGTCATGTGGGTGAGCGGTTTGTTGATGTCAACGTTGTGGATCGAGAGGCCCATGGTGGCGGTGGGGTTATGGTATGGGCAGGCGTGTGTTATGGACAGTGAACACAGGTAAATTTTATAGATTTTGAATGCACAGAGATACCGTGACAAGATCCTGAGGCCCATTGTTATGCTATCCATCCACGAACATCACCTCATGTTGCAGTATGTATGATAATGCACGGCCCCATGTTGCAAGGATCTGTGCACAATTCCTAGAATCTGAAAACATACCATCTCTTGCATGACCAGCATACTCACCGGACACGTCACCCATTGAGCATGTTTGGGATGCTCTGGATCGTCGTATACGACAGCATGTTCCAGGTCCTGCTAATATGCAGCAACTTCACACAGCCATTGAGGAGGAGTGGACCAACATTCCACAGGCCACAATCAACAACCTGATCAACTCTATGTGAAGGAGATGTGTTGCACTGCGTGAGGCAAATGGCGGTCACACCAGATACTGATTGGTTTCCGGTTATAATTTTGTTCGGTGTAAATATACTATATATGAACTTCAGTTAACCCACCATGTGATGTATCTTACATACCTGTACTAATCCTACTTTTAGTGCAACACTGTAATAAATGCTCAAGAAAGCTCATATCTCACCACAAACCATTGTCTCTCTCTCTCTGACCATTCATACACTTTTCTTTTATTCATTAATTGATCCCATTTCCTGTTCATATCATGGTTTTGGATTGCTACAGGGCAACAGGCCTGTTGGTCCTATTCCTCTATAAGCTCCAAGGAATTATCTGCTAAGCTTTGCCATGCGGTCCATCCCAAAGTTTACAGGTATGGATCGATTCTACAGGTAAAAAACAAACCTACAGTTACAAATAGTTTTGTCCCACATTTGACACATTCTACTGAATAGCCAATGGGAATGTTCGGATAAACCTGTCATTTGACTATCCAATCAGGAATGTCAGTTCACCATCCAATCACGGATCCAGGGGAGCAGGCCTTAGTAAGCATGTCTCGCTGGGATAATGAGAATGAGAAGCTGCTTTTCCCTAAATCAGTATGATACTCAACCATGATACTCGAACAGCAGCAACTGTACTGTTTCTTAGACTTTGTTCCTGCAGAGATTACTAACTAACAAACAGGGATCACATTCAGCTCTGCCTCCGGAGTGTGTCTGTCAGATTAGCTGTTTTTAAAAGTACTGCTTCCACCTCACAACAATGTCTCTGTTTTCCCTCATATTAGCATTTTTCTGCACTGCTGAGAAGGTCCTGTTATTGGAGTGGCTCGGCATCCTTGTTCAAAACTGAGAATGTGGAGGTGAAATTAAAACTTATGTCTGTCTTTCACTAGACATTTCCAGCACATCCTCACTACATGTTTTCTTTTTACCCGGCCACTGTCATTTGTTCCACTCATCACCAGATGTTGATCAGTCTTTCTCTCTACCTATAGTCCATAACAGCAGCCTCAGAATTCATGGACCAAAAGCCTGTGCGGATGCATGAGAGCCCTCTGCTGGTCATGAGAGTTATTTTTGGTACTGTACATGTGTTGATACAGTCTATGGTGGAACCATGTAAGCCTGTGACCTGTCTAGAAGTAAAAAAAAACACACACACAAGATCCTAGTGGTCTGTAGTCATCAAATTGCCTGTGTTGAGCTGAGTGGTGCATAGATCAGAATCAGAATCAGCTTTATTGCCAGGTATGTGTACACATACGAGGAATTTGACTCAGGATTGTGCATTGCTCACGGTGTGCTTACTTATACAATAATACAAAATTACAATAATAAAAATAAAATAAAATCAGACACAGACTTCAGTGCAGACAACACAAGGTCTGTGTCGTGAGCAATGTACACATCAACCACCTCAAGGCCAAATAAACATCCTTAAACAATGCCAAAATTAAGCACAATTAGTTTTATTAATTAGCATGAAGAAAGCCCAAAGTCCACTCCACCAGCCTGCAATCCATTCTCCGGTTTGCACCGGGTACAACAATTCAATGTACCCAAATAAGCACATTATTAGCATCAAAATGTAGGCCTACTTAAGGCACCTAAAGTAAAAGTACTCATCATGCAGAATGTCCCATTTCAGAATAATATACAGTAGCCTATTATATAACTGTATTATAATTATTCTGATAATACATCACGTTAATGTTATTGCTGGTAAAGGTGGGCCTAATTTTTGACCCATAACGATAATGTAAGTCATAATTTATTAGTTGATATGTATTTTGTATTAATAATCTGCAAAGAAATTAATGTTAGGGTATACTAAGTAGAGAAACTGTAGCAGAGGATAAATGTGATTTACTGTAAACTTACTTTTACGTAATCTGGCAACATCCGGCAACCCTTTGGCTCTTTATGCGTACGCACGTTGCGTTGGTCGGAACAGCAGCAAACACACACAGACATCATGGCGGACGTACTGGACCTTCATGAAGCGGGAGGCGAGGACTTTCCTATGGATGAGGATGGTGATGGTAATAATAATATATATGCCCACTGGCGGATGCTCCATAACTAAGGCTTTTAAATGACGTGTAAATGCTCAGGTTTAATGTATATGAAAATGGCCGTGGCTGAAAATGCTACAAATGCTTACTGCGTGGTAGCAGGCCTGAGAAATGCTAACATTAAGCTAACAACGCAGTGGTGCTTCATTCAAAGGCTCTTTGTAAGCTAGCTAGGTCGTGGTTATTGTAAACTGTAATGATCAGTTTTGCAAAACCTTTCTGTAAATGTGTTTCCTAGCTTAACAGCGTTCGCTACCTTACATAGGGTTAAATATTTACGTTACAACATAACCTGAACTTAGATCACTGTTATTAGCCACCGCTAGCACTTTCCCTCCTAACGTTATAGCTATCAGCTTGTAAGAGAAGTTACACTGACAAAAGTGCACAGAACTTACAAGCCACAACGTTACGTATTTCCACACCCGTACAGCATGTTGTAGTGATACTGTGGCGTTAACTACATAACGTCTATCCAAAATAGTGTAATTTACATAAAAGTAGGAGTTAGCTAACGTTAGCTGTTACACTTGCAAAACTGGGAGCGAGGAGAGGTAAGTTAACCAGCATTTTCTGACTTATTCAACTTCCTTCCACAGAAAGCATCCATAAGTTGAAGGAGAAAGCCAAGAAGAGGAAAGGACGCGGCTTTGGCTCAGGTGAGTTACTTTACCACTGTTGTGAGATTGGTTTATGTTCTCCTAATAATGAAGCCTTTTAATACAGTTTGCTAGGCTAGTCAACAATGTTTTCATATTTTTCTGTGCTGCCGTTTCCAGAGGAAGGAGCCAGGTCCAGAATCAAAGAGGACTATGATACTGTGGAACAGGACGGGGATGAGCCAGGTCCTCAGAGATGTGAGTGTTGCAGTTCATATTAAGAATATAATTTAGTTTAAAGGTAAGAAAATAAAGTTAAAGCTGCACATTTGTCACCCTAAAGTGCCTCCTAGGTTTATGAATTCAGTTAAGTCACAACAGTTCCCAAAACTAATGTATGAAATCTTTCTATTGTCACCAGTTAGTGGCTTTTTTCAGTCCCATTCACACCCCATTTCTGAGCCACTCTTAAAAAGGGCGAAACAATTAATTGAAATATTATCAAAATCACAATATAGCCAAGTGCATTAAAACTGATTTTTAACCCAGGCTGTCTCCCAAGTTGGGACTGTTCTGGTAGCTGGAAATTACATGATGTTAGTCAATTTGTATGTGAATAAAATTTTATTTTCATTTGATATTACTTTCTTGTACTTTATATTTTCATATATGACAACATGTTTATAGCATTGCCATATGTTAAGTACATGGCAGAATATAGAAAGAGAGCAGCTTGATTAACAAATTCATAATGTATATTTAAAATCTTTTCTTTCTTTTTTTTTTATCGTGGGATGGACACAACGCTTTTATCCAGATGGTTAGAATAGTTTTTGATTATTTTGGAAATACAATAGATTGAATAGAATAGAAAAATGGCAGCTTTGCTCTGTAACTCAAATGAGTGATATAGAGAGAGAGACAAACTGGACCATGAGAAATCTTCTAGCATGGAATGAGAGCTTTGGTAATCATAACTGTACTTGGCTCAATACAAAGTTGAAACTGCTGATTTGTTAAATTATTTGACCCGTATGCCTGTTCTTGTTGCAGCGGTGGAGGGCTGGATCCTGTTTGTGACAGGTGTACATGAAGAGGCCACAGAGGAAGACATCCATGACAAGTTTTCTGAGTTTGGAGAAATCAAGAACCTGCATCTCAATCTTGACCGCAGAACAGGCTACCTCAAGGTGAGTCAAATGCATCATTAGCGTGTTTGTGGGTTTCAACGTGTCCTTTTCATAGAAGAGATGTTCACATTCAGTCAATGCACACCTTTTACTGTTTATTTCGTATTTTCATCGACACAGCCTCTGCTGTTTTTTCATTCTTCCTGACTGGTGTAAGGAGTCTTTTGTTCTGTACAAAACCAGACCTGACCTGTGTAAAGCCAACATTTGCTACTATACAAGTAAACCTTGCTGTCACTGCAACTTCCTCCTGGATCCATATTCTTCATATATGTCTGTCCATAATTTTGTCATCCTGATTGTCCATACTGTAATTTAATGTTGGTCTACTCTGTTCTGTGCTCATGACATCTGTGGCTTGTTTGGCTGTCTTGGGAGATGGATCCCTCCTCTGTTGCTCTTCCTGAGATTTCCTCCACTTTCCCCCCTTTTTAAAGATTTTTGGTGGGGGAGTTTTTTTGTTATCTAAATCGAGGATCCAATGATAAAGACTGTCTTATTGATTGTAAAGCCCCTTGAGGTAAATTTGTTATATTGGGTTATATAATGAAAATTAGCTTGACATGACAGGAAAGAAATGATTAAAGTTATTAGAGTATATTCAAATATTTGCAGTGTTTAGAATGTATCCATTTGCCACCATGTAGTACACAACACATTGCTGTTGAAGTGCACATTATGCTTCAACTTTCCTCTAAGCCACAAGGTGGCAGCATTGTTTTGTGTATGAAGTAAGAACAAAGCATTTTGGACAGGCATAGAGAATGTCCATTTGTGTTACAGGCTGTTTGAAGATAAACCTGATGAAACAATCTCATGCATTTCATTTCTAATCTTTTCAATGTGTCAGACATAAAATGTATAGTTTTTGGTAAGCTTTTGTGCGAAGTTTACCCAATGATCCCACGCTGTGGTTTCAGCAGGACCGTTACAATAGTCCACTTTAAGGATATTATATTATTGGGTGATCAGAAGCCTTGTTTTCTTTGCTTTGTTGTTCATTAACATTGTAATATGCTACCAAATTCCAAAGCTGGAATGCTATAAATGTGCAATAACTCACATGATGTGCTTATAACTGTCACTAGGGATATGCACTGGTGGAGTATGAGACATACAAAGAGGCCCAGGCAGCCATGGAAGGGCTCAACGGTCAGGATATGATGGGCCAGCCTATCAGTGTTGACTGGGGGTTTGTCAGAGGGCCCCCCAAGAACAAGAGGAGGTGAGGGGGGGGTGTGTTTGGCTGTGGTAAATGGAGTGTTGGCATACAGTGTTGTTTGCCAAAATTTGGTGGAGTTTCATCATGTTATTGTGGTATTTATTTTCACCTAGTGGTTGATGTTTGCAGTGTTTACAATAAAGATATTTAGGCTATCTAGTTAGTTAGAAGTTTTTATTTTTTAATAGTAGGACGCCCCACCTAGGAAAATACAGTTCAGTTGGTTAGTTATTGAAAAATGATCTTGTTTAATATGGTGTATGTGTTTTATCACAGGACTGGTGGACGGAGGCGCAGCAGAAGTCCGGACAGGAGGCGGCGTTGAGTTTGGCAGTAGTCATTGGCCAGAAGAGTTGTCTGTCACTTTGACAGGCAGTTTATAATCCTCTCCATAAGAACCTAATTTCAGAGTTTTTGTACAATATTTTGGTGTAACAGTTGTTTATAGCATTTAGTTGCGTAACTTCAAAATTGAGATATGGAAAACAAAATCATAAATTGGCCTAACAGCAGCATTTTCTGTTTCTTGTGAATTGCTTATTAAGCTGCTGTACAATGCAACAGAAGAATATCAGTTCAGCTGTGTCAGTAAAACTAGGTTTTTACTTTCAACACCAACTTGTAGTACATGTATATTCCCTCAAAAGTGGTATTCAGTTTGCTCAATGTTCTGTGCATTTTTATTGTGCTGCAGTGTTTTTGTTTTATATAACTTGGGGAAAATTAAACTTTTTAAAAGGTAACTGTGTGCCCTCATTTGTGTTTTATTTAGCATCGCTAATGACGTAGGGTTTACATCATCCTAGATGACCTCACTGTGGCAATGCTGTTGCCCCAGCTATTTTGTGAACCCCAAAGCACCTGTCACTCTGGACTCGGACCACACTCATAGGCTACCCGGACAAAGCCCCTTGCCCCCTATATTTCTGCAGCCAATTGGCAAGCGAATGTTTTGTAGTCTGTCGTTCTCATTTGGTGTTTACACTTCTGGGGAACATCAGTCAAGGTCCCCGAGAATCACCATTGGTGCTTATAAATGTCTTGTAGATAGACTCTTCTCTCTGATTGGGTGGCTCTTCGAGGGGGCGGTTCAAGGATTCGGTTGACGTTGTTGTTGTAAGTGGTGGAGAAATTACTTTGTCGGTGGTGGTCCGGTTTGGGATTTTACGCTTAGTTCCACCTATGGAGATGCTAAAAAGTTAGGAATTGTTGCTCTTGGAAACGTATATGGACATTACAAGTTAATACTTGCTGGAAAACTAAATGGGACGATGAAAACAATATCTGCTAGGCCGTTCAAGGTAAGCAGTGATGGGATACTCTGGCTACTAGCCTTAACGTTAGCTAACGTTAGCTACTGATTAGCCAGGCTTGAAGAAGCCACTTGCTAGTCAAACGAAACGGATCGGTCTACACACTGAAAAATAAACTACTCTTCTGTGTAATGAGCATCAATGCATACGTATAGCAGTTTCCCAGAGGGGTGATAAAAATGTATATTGCGTGAAAATAAAGTTATTAGGCTGCGTGTAAACGGTGCATGAACCCCATGCGTTGAACGCCCCAAATGCGTTTATGTAAGCATGTGTATTGTTCGTTGATATTTTGTTCCAAAGAATAGTTGTAACCATTATAGCTGTCTCATTTAGGAGAAGCCAATCATCGGTAGAATTGATCTGTATATGTTAACCGTGGCAAGCAGGTTGGTGAACTGAATTGGTTGCTAAACGTTACATTAGCGTTATCTGCTGATAAATAACTGTTAACGTTACAGATGTGCAGTTTAAATATCTCATTTTAAAGTTGTGCTGAATGGGAGATCAGATTTATATTTGCCCTTTTATCAGTTATGTTTTTCCCGTAAGAATTAACTAACATTATTTTTGCTAGCTGTCTAAGAGCTGGCAGTCACGATCCAGATTAACTGAGACCGGTTTTTATTTAAGGTGCATGTGTGATGTAACGTTTACTTAAAATACCAGCTTAGAGAACATTTTGGAGTTTACACGCACTCGCGTGTGTTTCCTAACGCTAACCTCTAACCAAAACGACTGGTGAGTGGCAAACTTGGTCGAGTGAGTCAAGTCAGCAGCAGCACTAAGCATTTCTTCCCAAACCTTGCTGCCAGATATGTGTGACTACAGCCTGAGCTGTCTGGTCATTGGGTTCAGTGCTCCGTGCTCGTTTTGAAACTAGGACTGGGTTTATTTGCCATCATTTCCAACATCACCACGACGTAAGAGGTTTGCGTTACACTTTGCCTTGCATTATTAAGGTTATTGTGTTTGTTACTTACTGCACTCAACCTTCCGGGAGTGTTTATGTTGTTTAGAAAAACATATTCTGTTGGAATCACTTGCAGCAGTAAGTAGGCACCTCATCTTACAAGGCTGATGGAATTCCTAAGAAACTAGGAATTGTGTAGCCGCTAAATGAACCCCATCTATCCCTCCCACCTGTGCTCATTCCTTCCAGTGGCTGTGCAGGGTGATGTTTGAAATGCGGGACACACAGACGACTGCCCTGCAGTTGCAAAGAAGAGTAGCAGTGTGGAAAGTTAGACTGAACTTCCAGCTTAATACTACTAAACTGGATGATGTATTTATTAAAGTTGCCTTTTGATCAATTCTGGGATCCATCATCATCCGTTATACACTGTGGCTTGAAGATAAAAAATATATTTCCCCATACTGATGCACCTTCTCTGTGAGGTTGCACTGTCAGGCTTTATTATGCAAGTTCTCAACACTTAGAGGAATACACTGATGCATGAAGCAGCACAAAGAGCACCTCTGGCAAGTATTTTAAGTAGGGTGTAGCATCATTCCCCATGCAATTCAGATTCCAAACTGGCAATGTATAAAAAGAAAAATATCACGATAACAATGCAGGTTTGCCTCTTTGTAAGTAATTAGATGATAGGAGCTGTGTTGTGAACGTTTGGTCGGCTCTATTGGTGATTGATTTTTTGTGAACCATTTGAATTTTGTTGTTGCAAATGAAAATGCGTGGGCTTGCTATTTGCATCTTATCATACAGAGATCTCCGACAGTATTCAAATGAGCTGTGGTAAGCATTTCACAGTAGCCTTGTTTGAAAATGATACAGATGAGATGAGAACATGCTTAAATCAGTAGTGTGTAGACACTTGTAATGTCTGTGTATCTTGAAGTTGGAAGACCTGGTGACAGTGGGGTTATTGGCACACTGTTTGCTGTGACACATAGCAAAGGCATATAATTACACAATTTAGGGCAGAGCAGCAAAGAAGTAGTATGCGTTTCAGTTTATAACTCAGAAAGCAGACCCTTTGTTTAACTTATTGTGGGCAACATGTTTTAGATTGGGGAAATTACTTCTCAAAGGTTTTCTTTCTTTCATATTCTTCATATCTTCAACATTGATCTTACTAATTGTTCTTGTACTGGACCTCTGTGGCTGTTATGACTTATGCCTTGGTGTATATAGTATTTCACAGGGTAACCATGCTGCTTCACAACGCAGAGGGCATGAAAATTGAAACTCGTCTCTCGCCGGGCTCCCCCAAACAGCTGCTCACTAAGTGTGTATCCTGTGTGTGTGCGTGCGTCATGGATCCAGTGTCAGTTTCAGAGCCAGGCCCATTCGGCCATGGAGGTATTCCCATAGGATCTTTCGAACACGGTCAGATTAATAAGTAAGTAGATGAGTGCTTCTTCAGGTTAGTAGGACAAACGCATGACGTTTGTGTCAGGCATCCATGTTCCACTCAATTGTGCAGTGTATATGCTCAGCCTAGAAAAGCAGGAGCTAAGCCTAGCAATCTACCTTGGTCCCCTCATTGCCTCAGTGAGATGGGGATCAATAGGTGGCTTGTCTCAGAGAGGCCTCTGTGTCCAGACAGCAACTCATAAAACTCTGTGGAGCCCCACCTTCCCTACTATGGCCGGTTGCCTGCCAGTCTTGTGACACAGCAACCAGCCAGTGCCCAGGGCTGTTTGTGTCAGGGTGGGGAGACTTAGAACTGAGGCGTCATCTTTGAACAGCACGTTATGGCCTTAGCTGAATGTTTCCAGATTATATTTAGCTAATTCACACAATTGTCATACAACAGAAGTGACTGTAAGTAGGGTGGAATGGTTACATGAGGAAATATATATATAATATACATACACACACACACACACCAATTGAGCAGCTATAATCCTATACCGCATGAGGCACCACTCCCACAAGAGAACCTATGGTAATAAGAGCTTGGTGTATCAGTTACTTTATGCTCTTCACCTTTTCCTACTCTACATGCAGTACAGAGTGGGGGAATTGATAATGATTATACTTGCCACGAGCCAAACCTCAAAGTTAAATGTGCACGGTCAGTCAATTTTTGCACATCTTGATATATAGGTGTTAACATAACATTATTCCTTAATTAAAAAAATCACTTAGAATTTTAAAATGGATACATTACTATAGCAAACACAGCAACAAAGGTAGATCATTTTAGGTTGCATGTAAGCAAGCAGTATTTGTCTGTTGTGTCTGTCACATCTCTTCTTATGACTGATGCCTTTTCTCAATGCTGTCCATAAACTTTGCGATGTATTGTCAAGAATATGAAGACTTTACCCATTTTATGTTGAAATAATTTAGCTGTTGAAATGCACCTGCAGTAGTAGCGGTGGATAATTTGCCTTAAGATACAATCACAATATACATCACAATATTGCAATTTCTTTTTTGTTGTTTGGACATCAGTTAAGCTGTTGGACTCTCCTCACGTGAATTCTGGCTTTCTTTGAACTACAATAATAAAGGAACCTGGTGTTGCATTTTTATCACACAATAATGATACAGATATTATCATGAACGATATGATATGCCACACTCATAACCTGTAGTTGATTTGGCCTCTGTTGTTTTGTGAAATGTTGCTTTGGAAATTCACTAATGTGCTGTTTGTGAGACCTTGTATAGCTGACAGAAAAATTTAACCTAATATGACCCAAATATGTAATAAAGTTACTTCAGAGTTTAAGTCATTTTTACAAGACAGAAAACTATAGAAAACAACTGGTAGCTGGTGGGTTCCAGAGATTGTTTGTATTGGTACCTGTCAAAGTGGAGGGTAGAGTTGATAAATTCACCAGCATTAGCCATTCTGCCAACATTTGGGGGTAATGGTTATTTCCAAGCCTTAAAGCAGGTGGATAATGAGATTTAGATGCCACTTTAGCATGTGAACAAAAGGGTACTTTCCTATGCAGACTAGACTACATCAGTCCCTCCCTCCCTGCCCTGTTGATCCCGAACAGCAGGAGTAATCCAAACACAGCCCTGATGAGGAGCCTGTCACCCAGGATGACATCACACAGGGAGTGACGTGAAGTCGCCCTGCTGCGTACAGGGCCGGGCCTGCAGCACGTGGGGATTCACATGAGCATTAGTGCTGCCCGCCTGCAGAGGTGGGGGCTTGTTTAGCTACTAGCTTTAGATCTAGCTGGGCTTGGTTGGTTTCACATTCAGGCTGATTTAACAGGGGTATATCTTGAACATTGAAATGAGTCCTGTCTGCTTTAGAAGTGTCTGTTTTTCTTTCTTTTTTTTTTTTACATTCATACAGTCATTTGGGCTTGCACAACATTGAAAAAAGCTACCTGGATTGATCCACGCCCTTGTGTTTATGAAATCAGTTGCATTATTACATTGTTAAATACATTGGACTTGATGCGGATGCTTGTAGTTTTGACAAAAACTCTGCGTTGCACAATGGCTGCATGAAAATGTCATCCAAAACTAAACCGAAGTCTTGTGGTTTCAGAACTTGCACTTAATTGCCTTTCATCATTTTAATCATTTTACTTATTACTGTAGAGTCATGTTGCATATTTTGCAATTCACTGTTAGCACACCGATTGCTAATGAATCGGTGGGCAGTTTAGATGGATGCAGAGGCTTGTATTTCTTCATACAGCCTAAAAATCAATAATGAGGTCGCCAGGGCTGAATGAGGACTTCTCACCCACAGAGTCTGGAGTTTACTGTAGGTTGGTAGTTTTCTGGAATACTGCAACCAATGCATAATGTTCACCAAGTGAAGCAATTTATCCATCTACATATGTGCCGCTGTCCTTCAGTGGCGGACAACACTTTGCACTGGGTGCTCTGCAGCACTCACTCTGAATGTCTTGTTTTGGGTTTCTTTTTGTGCACATCTCTAAAACAGTAATGCGTTTGATAGCAGATTAGCTTCCGGTTCCCTCACTCACTTTGAGGATCAAATACCCTCATTACATTTTCTGCTGTTTCAGGTGTCCACCGC